CCTTAGTGAGCTGGCTGTTGGCGTAAACTTTGAAAGGAAGCCATTATTCACTACCGGTAAGAAAATCGGTCACGAAAAAAGTATGTGCTAAAGGCACGATAGAATTAATACAACTAGATCGGCAGATAGATCAATGCATGGCATAGACAAATTTCTGCGACGTCCTTTGTTAGATTGGTCTCGCGTGTATTCGGCGAGGTCAGACGGCTGGGGCTGGCCCCCTTGTTCCTGGACCAGCGCATCGACATTCCCATGAGACTAGCCAATTTGAGAATAGCGTTCTCTGCTCCCCTAGTGCTCTGCTAAGCCACAAAGAGCCAAGTTGGATAGACAAGAGCAAAGCACCTTGTCCGATAACACCCAAAGTCAATCCCCCTCCTCGTTGCTCAATCCCGACCACAGACATTCGTTCCCAACTCATTTCTCGACTGGAGCACGGTGTCGAAACATATTGACGATAGCATCAGTTGTCGAAGCCCACTGGGGCGTTCTCAGTACAACCAGACGGCTTGACGACCATTGTTTACTACTTTAAGCCTATCGACTTTGTATCTGCGACGGGCGACAATTCAGGTCTCACGACTGTGCCGCATCCTGCTATATTCACCGATATAGCTTCCAGCTTTCGCACGAAGGATCTCGGCAGAGAACGAGAGAAATAAACAAGAGGCAGACTAATTTCTTGAAGAAACATATCTTGAAGAATTTAGGATTCGACAGCTCAGCTTTACAGCTCAATATTGTCCTTGTTGCTTCATCATTCCCTGATAGCCTCACATTCCCTTCGCCAATGTTATTCATCAACGTTGCAGTAGAAGGAAATAGCGAGAGAGCTTCACGTTGATATATTACCTTTCCGTCCCCGCGTCTTCACGACGTCGGCCGCTTGCTCTGTCGTGTTGCTGTCAGTCTTGAATCGGGCGCTTAGCGCACAGCTGCAATGTTACGGCCTGGCACACCGTTGACGGTGCTGCTGTTCGCAGCTTTTGCTTTGCTCCTATTAGCTGTTATATCAACCCCAATTGTCGAAGCTATCCCACTGAGCGACTTCGGTGGTGTAACATATGGCGTTTTTGGCTACTGTCAACAAGGCAAGGGATGTAGCGGTATCGGGGTTGGATACGACACTGGTCAGTCTACCGTGATGCTGAAACGCGTTTCTTTTTCGAGCTGTACTGATGCTTCTTTTAGCCAAATTAGTTGGAGATGATAGTCAAGCCTTCGACTTGCCATCTGGCGTTCGGAATACGCTCTCTGCCATTCTTATTGTGCATCCAGTCGCGGCACTTATTACTCTTGTCATGACTATCATGGCGGCTGTGTCTCACCTGCATGCTCCCTCGCACTCGACAAGATATCTGCTCATTTTATTCATCTTCCTCCTCATTGACTTCCTGGTCTGCTTGTTAGCCTTTTTGATCGACGTGCTTCTATTTGTACCACACCTAGCATGGGGCTCTTACCTTGTTCTTGCTGCTACTATCCTCGTTGCCATGAGTGGGTTGGTAACTTGTGCGATGCGCCGCACTCTGGTCAGCAGGAAAGATAGGCAACGACGTATCGCACAGAATGCGGAGATGAGCGGCGAGAATTATTACAACAGAAATGCTCAAGATAAGACGGCTGTCGAGCCTGAAGTTTCTCGACAACCGACTCTACCCACCGTGAGTGGTGGCAATGGTGTACACGACAATCTTCCATCCTTTACAACCTTTGAGCAGAAGAGCAGAAGCGACCAAGTCAGCGAAGAAGCCATTCCTCTTACCCGCCGGACCACATCAAATCGATCTCCAGTACCCCCTAACGAGGTGGCAAGCGTGGGTGAGGTTGCAGCCTTTGACAGGAACCCTCAGAGGCAAGGCTCTCGCGATCAGTTTGGCAATCCTATCGACAGTGTTCCCGACCCATATGCGACGCGGAGAGGACCTTCCCCAAGCATGAGTAACCGTGGAAGAGGGGTTGGAGGAGGCTACCGTGGCGGAAGAGGGGGTTATAGCCGTGGAGGATACGATAACTACGGAGCTCCAGCCCGAGGTCGTGGAGGCTATGGCCCGTCTGGAAGGGCTGGATATGGCCCCAGAGGAGGACGGGGAGGCTATGGACAACCCAGCCGAGGAGTCTATGGTGCAAACGGGATGAGGGGAGGTCTAAATGCGCCCCCGGGATACAACAACGGCCCTTACGATCGGAGACCGTCGCCTGCTCAAAATTTTGCTCACGATGCTCAGCTGTCAGTGCCATCTAATGGATATAGCTCGACGAATCCTTCGATGCCGAGTGTGAACACTTACACCGCTTACAGCCCGGAGTCCACATTACCTAGAGCTGAGTCGCCCCCGCCTTTGCCAGGAACCGAGCCTGCCACTGTTGGTGGTCGCGCAGTAGAAATGGATGCATCTCCGGCAGTTCAGCGTCATGACGAAGGAACCTACGGACAGCTTCGGGACAGTGACGCGGATGTTGCAGGTATGGTTGGACTCCAGCAGGGGCAGATTCCACAGCGGCATGATACGTACATGAGCGAGGGAAGTAAATATAGCACTGATGAGTATGATTCCCGCTCACATGATTCCGACGCGATGCTGACGAGATGACCAGGCAATATGTTCCGCCCCGCTCAGCATGGACTGAGGGCGATGGCAGAAATTCACCTAGAGCCCCGTCACCCCTGGTAATTGGTCAACCAAAAGCTGAGCTCACTGAAAGAAGGACGCCTCCCATTACGCAACAGCCTGTGGCTACCGGGAACAGCAACTACTATGAAGACGTTGATCCACGTTTCGCCTCCGATGCACCGCCAGCAAGTAACAATCTTCAGCCACCCCCTATTGAGCCTATATACGAAGACATTCATGCCAATAATGCGGGTACTCGAAGCCCCGCTGAATCTGAACATTCAACATTTACCTCCATATCCCAGCGTGGTATCAACCCGCGTTGGAACCCCAACCCCCCACCACTACCGTACCAACAAGGACCCCCCCATCGACGACCAGCACATCAACAACAACAACAGCGCCAAGACATGCTATTAGATACCCCCGACTTTCAATTACCCAGTTCGCGGACTGGCCGAGGCCCTGGAATGGTACCTGGAAGCGCATACCCACCAGGCGGTTTCTAGTGAATCTGCCTAGTGAGCTTCTGTGATAGTATCATGATTCTTCACCAGACTGTGTCATTTCTAATCTATCCCGACCCATCTTGTGTTGTTCGGGTGTTTATATCTCTCAGTTCTTCACTTTGTTACGGCTATATGCCCGAAGACACAGTTGTCCCTTAGACTAATATAGTGTCTTATTGTTGGTTAACTATAACACCTTTGTTGGTTTACCATTCTTCATCCTTTGCGTATTGCATTCCTTGAAACGTACATTTTATTTTTCGACTCCAGTGTCATGGAGATCACGCACAGTTGTCTCTTATGTCTGTCAAATTCTTGTACCCCTACTATTGTTGGTTTGTCTTTAGCTATAGCGCAGGACGCTGTGATTCCTGGTTTGGTAGTGATCGCGTGACACGCCACGTCGTCTGGTGTCAACGGAATTCACATCGTCTTGAAGAGAGGGTGGATGCTTCTAGCGAGGTTGTTGATTGATTGATTGATTGAAAGGAAATATGATATGACCATGAGCCTCCCCTGCAGATACAAGTGGTTGCCGAGGGTGCAGCGATTGAGATGAATGAAAGAAGGGATTAGATACAAGTAGACATCTTCGCTTGGAGGAAGAATAATGAAGTATCAATCGACTGAACCCTTTTATGCATAAGCAATGTCCTCAGCTGAAGTTTGGCAACCCTCCTTGTTTGTATTCGAGAAATGTATGGCAAGATCGTGTGACTTGATATTACCGCCTGTGCATGCAGTTGCTACCTAGTCAGCCAATGTATTTACAGTCATGTACAATGAATGTATCAAACCGCTTAGGCCCATTCACCGCTGAGACCATTGAAAGCTGGTGCAGTGATACCCCCTAGGCTCCAGTATTCGACTCGCGATCCAAGTTACTGGGCAAGGCAGGTAGAAAGAATAACCGGGCCAGAGCCTTTCCTTAGGCAGACCGTCCCAGACCTCAGTTTGTAATGACAAACTATCTGCCACTTTATATTAGATGTCCCATGTGCTTTTATTTCTTAGTCTCGCCTTACATACAGCACTTGCATCGCGGTGATCCATCCTGACACTGACAGTCACTGTTAGTCTTGGTAATGAATGACATAAGGGGTCAGAGAGTGCAAGTGCCTCTGCAGCCACCTCAAGCTCATTGTCAATTCCACAATGAATTGATTAATTTCCTTTTGCTTAGGTACTCATTCAGTTGAGAGAAGAACCAAATTGTTACATTTTTCAACTGGCTCACCTACCACAAATAAGCTTTACCACAAGGCGGCCTACGAAGCTGGGTAAATAATCTTCATCCCAACTCATACATATCTTCAACTTTTGGATCCCGTGGCCAGGTGTTTCGCCAACATTTCTTTGTATGTTCCTCCATTTACATCCAGTTTTGGACTTTAGCACCTTCCTGCTCTTGCGAGTTGCGTAGTGCGGGCCGAAGCCAAGAAGGAAGGCGCATACCCTCCGTCTACTCCCCCCCGAGTGGCTTCCTGCCAACACCACAACCGACACACTTCTTTCTCTCTCTCTCTTCGATCCCGTCTTCCTACCCTCAACCTTCGCTTCTATCCTCCCAGCCTGGTTCTCTCCACAAGCTTGTTCACTTGTGTCAAAGCGATGGCAATGGCGTGAAAACCCACTTGTTCATAAACTATCCTATACTGCACTACGCATATTGACCACCTCTGCATTTCTACAACCCTTCTCACACTTTTGCAGAAGCATCATTCCGCTAGATATTCCCACGGACTCATCTGCGCCCACGCCCACACAGATCCGGAGTATCTAGCCAACTCAATCTAACAGGCACCTTCCTTGAATCTCAGAGATATTGATCGTCCTTACCATCTCCAGCGAACAAGATATACCAAGTTGAGCCAACATGGAGGATCTGTCTTCCCCTATCAGCATCGCCTCGTCTACCCCAACTGCTCCAACTTCGGCCTCAAAAGTCACCTACACCACGGCTGGCACTCCATACAATCCCAGCACTTCTCAGCCACTGCAACCGCCCGCCAGACGAGGTCGCTCTCTAAAGTGGCCTGCTGGTCTTCCTGCAGCTGGGCTATCTCTACTTCCCAAATCTGTTCTTGCCACTCTGCCCCTTAAGGCAGGATCTCGGTCTTCTTCCCTCCAACAGTACAGCCCTCAGACGCCCTACGACAGAGCATCTAGCCCCTTGAACGATACAGACCACAGATGTAGTAGCATGTCTGCTCAAGTACCCCGACTTGTGTCTTCTGCGACTCCGTCGCCGCTTACGTCCCTTTTCTCCGAAGCTGAACAAGGCACATTTACCGACGTTGACCCAAGTGAGGAAAGCGATGAAGAGTGCGAACTCGGCATGGACCCGTTGATGAACATGACAGTAAAGTCTCTTCACAACCTGGCCTCTTACCCAAACCCCAATCAGAAGCGAGCTCAGAAAGCCCTTCTTCGGGGACTCAAGCCAGCTCTGGGCCTGAAGACAACAACTCATGTTGACGAGCCTTTGGCCCCTCTCACACATTCCTTTGGACTCCAAGATGCGTCCAACAGCAACACCACCCTGCCAAATGTGTTCCATCCAACACAAACAGAGAAGGATACCTTTGGAAGATCTTTCGATGACGCATTCTGGAACTCCCAAGGCAACAAGTCGCCCAGCATTCCCCCTGGAGCATCCCGGAATTTCAATCGCGCGGTTGGCAGCAATACCGCCCGTACTGCTGGTACTCTAGCTCCCGGTTCCGGCGCTCCACGTCCCTTGACTGCCGGCCCTCCTGGTCAACGCCAGTATCGCCCATCGACCTTTGAGTCAACCTTCAAAGCACTCCATACAAACGAACCAAGCCAAGATGTCAAGCAAGATGAAGACGAAGACGTTCTTATCATCACTCGACAGACTCTACGACAAGCAGGCATTAGTAACAACAGCCTGGCACAGAACATATCGTCGTTCGAAGCGACTGCTTCACTGGCTTCAAAAGCCCCAGAGGGTTTGGAGGGGTTGTCTGTCGATTGCAAAACCACCCAGCCAAGTGCACCCACAACCGCCGCGACGCGAGGCTTCCAGTATCCTACGAGAGGAGCGTCATCCTGGGGCTTAGGCGCTGCTACGACATCTGCATGCTTGACATCATCGCCCGAGCTCAACCAGTCTCGATACACATCGGGACCTAGATTCAGAACAGCAAAGGAACTCCAGGCCTACAACAACAAGATCAGTCACGCCTGGTACTACGGAGCCGACTTCCTAGTAGCTGCACCAAGCGAAATTGCGTTGCAGGTTCAGCCCCCCAAGGGAAAGGGGCAGTTCGGTGCTATTGGGGATGGGCGTCCGTCAAAGAAGGGTGAATTTCATCGCCGAATGGAAATTGAAGACGCCAATCGCATGTCAGTGGCGGACCATGCTCGTCCGCTGTTCAATATGGCACATGCAAACGTGCAGCAGTTCATTGAAGGCGGGTGGAATAAGAGCCGGGGAGGCCGTGCTGCGGTAATGCAGGCAACCAAGTAGTGGCTGTTGGTTAGAAAGGAGATGATTGGCAATGAGTATGAAATATTCCTCATGCGATGCCCTATACACGACAGCATAGAATAGTTTCTGGGAAAAAGTATGTGGATGATGATGACCTTGCGTGACCGGTGCAGGGCAGGAAGGTTGGATGCTTTTTGGGATGGGCTCTGACGGAAGCCAGTCACGATGTGAGTGGCGATGTTATACTTACACGAACAAAAACGGCCAAGCAAATGTATTTCGGCCGATTCACAATGATGGCAGTATAGGAAGAACGGGTAACTTAGTAGTCCTTACCCGACATGCAAAAATGGAATATGATGAATAATTATCATTCTTGCAACGCTCGTGTTGACGCTCCTGTGACTGGCGTGCGGCTGGCCACGTGCAAACATCATTCATATGCGTCTACCTACCAGCCAACCTTTTTGAAAAGGATCACGAGAGTTAGGAACAGAAGCGTGTCGATGCACACAGCGGTTAGAAACTGTAATCTTAGTGTCGTGTAAAGGGCACCATTGAAAACAAGCTCGATCGGAAGAAATCGACAGTCTAAGTTGTGATGGCATATCCCGTACCATGGTATCCATTGATGTTATGTACCTCTCGAGTTGTCGTTGCGGTGTTGAATTACTTGGCGCATGGCCTTGATGGCACATGTCAGAAAGCGACAGTAACCAACATTTTTCTCAGGTACTTTGCCTTTTTTAGTTTTGGCTTTGAAAAGGAGATATGAGAAGAGGACAATTGAAGGAGAGTGTGAGTGGGTCTCATGACGTTGGTAAGGGACCTTGTTTTTGGGAATCTTATCTTGACTACACAATTTCCTTAGGCAGAAAACCAGCAATAAGACTCAGCAGTTGAGAAAAGCTGAAACTGCAGTTACGGAGACGCGTTCTTCGTGTCATTCCGAAAATCCTTGTATTGCGGATACTCTATCTCGAGACTTTGGGCCGGATAGGTAAGCTGGTAAAGTACCTACCTATTAGGTATCTGCTCCCTCTTTACCTGAGGTACTACCTTAGCTATAGATCGCGTTGGTGTTTCTTTGATCCACTTTTTCGACTGCTGGCCTCTTTTCCCATTCTTGCTTTTACCAAGTTCAAGTCTCTTGATTACATTCTCTTCCCTTCTTTCTGGGTATCGATCCTGAACTGCCACCATCTTCTACCGCGTACTTTCTGGCTCTTCGTAGCCACGAGAATTTGACTTTCTACGCCCTTTGCTGCACGATTCAACTAGCGAGAGTACACAAGTGCAAAGCGGGAATCGGACGAGAAATCTAGATTTTACCCACTCCAACAAGAAAAGGCCACACACAATACCAATCGCGCTCTGCAGGTCAACCGGAGCACAAAACCGAGAACACACAACTTTCGCGAAAAGAAACCCAAACAAACGAGATACAACACAACGATGGTCTACGTACGGCAAAAGGAGCTCCCCGCGCTCCGTGAGTACAAATACTCCGGTGTCGATCATTCACTGCTTTCCAAATACGTTCTGAAGCCCTTCTACACAAAGTTCGTCATCAAGTGCTTCCCTATGAGCATGGCACCGAATCTGATCACTCTGACGGGCTTTTCGTTCGTTGTTGCGAACTTCTTGACACTGCTGTGGTATACTCCCACCCTGGACCAAGATTGCCCCTCTTGGGTGTATTATTCTTGGGCACTGGGCTTGTTCTTATATCAAACATTCGATGCTGTGGACGGAACTCAAGCGTAAGCTAATCACGATCGCATTTGCCATGTATTCAAGCTGTGCTGACTAAACTGCTAGGCGCCGAACTCGACAATCCGGACCTCTTGGTGAACTCTTCGATCATGGGGTGGATGCTTGTAATACCTCGCTGGAGGTCCTTCTTTTTGCTGCTTCTCAGAATATGGGACAGAGCTGGCAGACTGTGGCAGTCTTGTTCGCATGTGAGTCAACCCTGGCGGTTCTGTTGGGATGCGCGATGCTGACTTGACAGCCCTCTTGACCTTTTATGTTCAGACGTGGGAGACTTATCACACCAAAACTCTTACTCTTGGTGTCGTCAACGGACCCGTCGAGGGCGTTCTTGCGATCGTTCTGGTCTTTGTTTTCACTGGCTACGTTGGCGGTGCCCATTTCTGGCAACAGAGCATGTTCCATACCATCGGTGTGCCTTCCACCATTGGCATCCCGTCTTTCATTTACAATCTTACCTTTACCGAGTGGTATCTTATTCAGGGCAGTATTGTTCTTGTTTTCAACACCGTTGAGTCTTCACTCAACGTCATCCGCGCTCGACGTGCCCGCGGTGACCGTTCTCGAGGTGCTCTCCTTGGCCTAGTGCCTTTCTTCAGCATCTGGTCTATGGTGGTTGCCTACCTTTATCTCCAACCTACTATCCGCGAGTGCCATCTCATCCCGTTTGCCCTCTTCGCCGGCCTTGTCAATGCCTATAGCGTTGGGCAGATGATCACTGCTCACCTTGTTCACCTGCGTTTCCCCTACTGGAACGTACTGGGCCTGCCTCTAGCCTTTGGTGTCATCGATTCCTTGGGTCCCATCTTCCAGCGTTACTTAGGGTTTGGTTGGCCCAGCGCTCTTGGCGATAGTGTCTACCAGGTGGCCTTTATGTTCATGATGCTCGGAACCGCTGTCGGTGTGTACGGAAGTTTCGTCGTTGACGTAATCGTTACCATCTGCGATTACCTTGACATTTGGTGCCTTACCATTAAGCACCCTTATGTTGAAAACGAAGGCGTCCAGGCCAACGGCACAAAGAAGGACTAAATGATTGATATCAAACCATGTCAAGTGGGTTTATGGCAACGCGGGGGCTCGACCCTCGAATAGACGAGTCGCATGTTAAGACAAACAATTGGACTGAAAAATAGAAACCTGACTTGGTAGTTCCAGGTTCGAACGGAGTAATGAAAAGACGATTCATGCAGGGATGCCAAAGGATTGGGAGTGAGTCAAGGTATCTAAAGAGGGCTTAAAAGAGGGTTATCGCGATTATTACATACATCAGGGTCTGGCATGTCTTTGATTATTAGGGTTGTCGTGAAGAAGTTTTGTATGATTTGTACGAGGAACGGTTTTGGTTCTTTTCCTTTGGAGTTCTGCAGCGTGCTTTTTTGTATCAGGTTACTGTAACTTATGTTATCTGTATGTCCGCCGTCAAATTCGACAGTATCCATGGTTTTCTGAATTTCATTCAATCTCTACGAACCTAGATACTTGCTTACGACCATATATAGAGCCAACGCGATCATATGCTGGGCTTTCAGGATCGTGCCCATTGGAATGGGGTTAAGAGATCTTATACAGAAAATATTTCATCATTTTTGCAACTCAATATACTTGTCTTTGATAAATATATATATATGAACTACAGCTTGGCCATAGATATGGCAGACATTTGCTGCGTGTCTTCGAAGAACAGTCCAAAATTTCTCGGAGCCCAACGTAAAACCTTGAATACAAAACGCCACGCCAAAAAGCCCCGACGGGCGGGGTATCATCTTCCTTCCACTTAGTCTCTCAGCGTAATATACGTCAATCATAATGAGGCCATTTATGTATCCTTTCTTCCCAATTGCCCCTTTTACGCCTTGTCGCTCATTTAGAGAAGGTCATCAGTGCCACTGGCGACACTTTGTTCAATGGCATTGGTGATTGAACGCTCCGAGAAGACAGGACCTTGGCCATCACACCTAGCGCAGTTCTTGAGGCGCTCGCTTACATCGGCAATGTCAACTAGGCCTTTCTTGAACAATTCGTGAGATATGATAAAGTCCCATGTTGCACCGGCAGCGAGGAGACGTTCGCCATCGTCTGAGGTAACAATGCGGTGTGAGGGCGACTTATTTGTGTGATTCTGCAAGACATTGGAGTAGAAGTCGGTAGGTTTGAAGCGCAGAGGCCCGGTTGCAGGCTCTGGTGAGATGGAGCCATGGCTCATGTGCGATGTCGCGCGAAGGATTTCGTTCTCGGTAGATATTTTCTGGAGATCTCGCTTTAAACGTTCGTTTTCGAGGGACGACTGTTGCTGGGCGGCCTCAAGGCCGGCAAGCTTCGCCTCGAGATCTTTGACATGCTTTTCTTTCCTCTCACGGAAGGCACGCTGCCTGTACAGCCATATGTCAGTTGTGTGGGGACTAAGAATAAACTCGTCGCCAGCAATTGTATTTCGAAGCCACAGCAATATTAGAGATCAAAGACAAAAGGTGACTGGATACGTACGCTGCGCGATTCTGTGCTTTCCTCCGAGACTGAGCAGGAGTTAGGTTCTCGTCCTCCTCGCTGCCCCCACGAGCAACGGATTGCTCGTCAGGAGAGCCATTCCTCAATGAGCCTCCTTGCTGTTGGTGGGCTTGGACTTGAGAAGCATAGCCGGGAGGTGTCGGGGGCCCTGGGAAACCAGAGGCAGGCTGATGGGGGTTTGCATTGAAACCTTGGGCGGTGGTATAATCGAAAGACTGGAACTGGTCATTTTGACTGGTAGAGAGGCCGTCGTAGTTTTCCTATACATGTCAAAGCAATATGTCAGCTAAGATGCGCTAAGGTTCTGAGATAGACGAGCTGCAGGTACAACGTTGAAGAGGCCGAGAACGTCGTGCTTGTGAGGCTCAACATTGCTAGAGTAATGCTCAGGTAAGGAAACGCTAAGGCAGGGCTGCACCGGGGGAGTGGGGGAGATCGCGGAGAAGGGATCGTTTACTGACAGGCGGGGATGCATTGAAGTCATCGGAGCCGGCGGAATGCGAGTGTGACGGCGTCAGAGGAGGAATCGGCATGAACTGGTGATAGGGCTGAGGGTTGGCAAAGTTGTATTGCCCGGTGAAATCCATCGTGAACCTTCAGAGGCGGTGGTTGAGGTTGAGGCAAGGTTAAACGAAGCAGGTGGAGTAGTTCGATGTGAGTGACTGCGGCCACACAAAATGGACAAGAAGCCCGAGATGAATGAAGGTGAGCGCAAAAGACTGAAAATGTGATGACTCAATGCCGGTTTGAAGAGACGGAAGCGCTTCTTGGTTAAAATAGTAGAGAAGAAGTTGAGGTTGTATGGGGCTTGACTCTAGGTTGGTGGATGAATTAACTACGAGGCGGGTGACGCGGGTGGGTGAAGAAGAGAGGTGGAGGTGGAGGTGGAGGTGGAGGGGGATGGAAAGCGCAGGTGCAGACCGATTGACCAAGGTGAGCGAGCCCCAAAAGCACAGAGCACAGAGCACAGAGCACAGAGCAAAGCACGGGCAGGGAAGGGCAGGGCAGCAGGTAGGTGGTACTGCAAGGCAAGGTGGTAGTGAAAGGTAAGGTGCCTTAATGAAGCATAACGTGGAATGCGTTTCACGAACGGGGGGACGGGAAAGGTTGGGCCTGGGCCCTTTTAAGAAATGGCTGAGACTTTGCGATCTAGGCCGAGCTAACGGTATATGGCAAGTCTAAGTGTTAATCGCAACTGACACGGCATTTGCCTTTGACGTGCATATTAGCCGTTGTGTATTAGTCGTGCCAAGCCAGGGTTGGATATCGACATCGTGAGCTTCCTAACTCGAGCATTGTAACGAACTTCCAGATGAGAAACATTTTGGATGATCAAAGGCCTCAGAGAGGTTGTCCAGTCTTACGGAAAGGGTTCCATGTCGCGTTCGAAGCTAAAGTGTCGCCTAGGAGGAGTTTCGATGGGGGAGCTGCAGCAAGGCGGCCGACGTTACTGGGCATTTAATTCGTCCCTTATTACCTTGCCTTTACCCGCCAGCTCAGCGCAGTTCAGTTATCTCACTGGAGCCCAATGGTTGTGCAGACGTTGAGGGCAATTCGTGAATTAGTCCACGAGCTTGAGGCTAGAAAAATGCGTCTCCTGCACATGCAGGCAGGGCTACCTTGAACAGCAACGTTGATGCAGTAGTGGGAGTGGTGCGCACTGATTGAGCATAAGCTGTGTTCCCCCTCGACACATTGTTTCTTATCAGCCAGTATCTTTCTTCCACTTCGAGAACCATCACTTTATACTGTAAAAAGTAGTTTACTGGCTTCCTAAAGTCTGTGCTAGCGCGAGGTTGAATTGTTAGTCAGACAACTCTAGGTTCAGATATATAACAGCTTCAGAGGATGGAACAAATGACAAACCTAACAAACCGACTCCACTGACCAGCATGGTTCTAGCAAGTTCAAAGGTTCCGTCTAATGCACAATGGCAAAAATAACTATTGCCTGATCCCCATCCAATCTCCCATTGCTCTTCTTTTTGCACCTTCTGGTCCCAGGCCTGGTGGGGTCGTTGGCGTGTAGGTAAGCAGGGTCGTCTTTCACATGGGGGTCGATAGGATCTGCGCTTGACATATCAAGATCGTATAAGCCAAGCTATCTATGGATTCCCCCTAGACGCTCCGGATTTGTTCAGGATTTGACTGTCTTCGTGCAGTCCTGACACACTGATTTCCCTTACCTAATTCGGCAATATCGTGCGCCAAACAGTATATTCATCAAGGGACAACTACCTAGGTACCTCGACAATGCCACGAATGCATGTCACAAACCTCGTAACGACCTTCATTCCCAGCCCTACAAGGACAACTGCTGAAGCTTTTTCGGCCCTACTTGAACACGTATCCCCGTTTTCTGGTCTAGTATGTTCAGCCTGGTCCAGCGCACCCGATACAACAGACGACAACTTAAACAAGCGAAGCCACATCTGCATCCGACTCTGCTTAGTCGGCCGCCCGCCCGCATTGCCCGCCCGCTTAAGCAAGAGACCCTCAAGCGACCCCCGATTGATCCCGTAATGCAATGAAGAGATTGAGTACTAGATTTCTTGAGCGGTCTCTGCTCGCTTGCACGTGGTTCGGCAGGAATTCTGTGCTCCCTTGGCAACTTCTCCCAACCTTCACCGGGTTTGTTTGGGGAAGATATACACAAACTGGGCCCCATTAGAATCCGCACTTAAGAGACTAGAGTTGGAAGAGGGGGCGGGTGCTACGGCGCGGTTGAATTGGTGTGTTGTTGATAATCGCCTTGACCTCCAGAATCGTTATGACTGTGAGTAGTTTGACTCCCATACGTAAGTGATATGTCAAGTAGTCAGCAACCGCACCCACAGCCCAAAAACATTTGCTCCGTTTAGGTGCTTACTGACTTATCGTTGCTAGCACATGGAAGTCTGTGTAACCAATAATACAGTGCCCAACCGCAGCTTCGCACATCCCCCGCTGAGCCCACCTGGTGTGTCTCCGGGGTCAGTCTTGGAATTGTTGATTCCCTAGTTAGTTTGTATCCCAAGACCCTTGGTACATGAGATATGCAGTCGAAGGCCCCAATGCCCGGCCCCGTGGAAGAGGATACCGATGCCTTTCTGCGGGAAATTGGCCTCAGACAAGATATGATAACCCAGGGTATCATCCAACGGGCGCAGCTTTGTGTAGGTGCATGCGAATGCAACTTATACCTAAGTTGTCGAACATGGGGAATGATCAACTTAGATCTTACGCACCCTCCGGAGCAAAACCGTACATAGATCCCGCACTCGCTCACCTCAAGCCTCAGGCACTTGGATGCTGCCAGCCAGCCCGCCCTTCCCCATTTCAACATTTATCACACCTTGGATACCTAGGGTAACACTGCGCTCAGAGATCTTATAGTCGGTATCTAGGTATATGCATGTTGTCACCATATAACACCAATGGCCGGGTACCTTAGCCATTGGGCCTAGAAAGCGATGAACGGCTTGTTCCTTGATGCCGTTATTCCCGACTTGCTCAATCATCATACTCACGTATGTGATATTGATCCACGAAGCTAATGTAAGTGAGACGGCCAGGTGACAGACTCTTGATATTTAAGCGAGCCCAACTTAGCACTGCTGAAACTCAATTGCTCCATTTGGGGAGTTGCTTTTTTTTCAGCAGACCAACCCAGCCTAAATCTCACTCCTGGGACAGTTTGATTTGACGGGTCTTTGATGTTGACGTTTTGTCTATGTTTGTTTCCTGAAACTCACGAGTTCATTCATTACAGTGTGTTCAATACAAAGGAGTCACCACGAGCTTACAATGCCATCCCATGTTGTCCTTGTTTACATAAATGGGGAACTTCTTGGCTGGAATAGTCAAATCTTTGATCATAATCCCTGGAACTGGCTGTAGTTTTGTGCAAGTGCGTCTCTTGTTCTCCAGTTTCCCTTTCTCATCTGTATTTTACTAGTTCTTACAATCCAGAAATCCTATAGCTTCTAAATTCTTTCAACTTCTTAAGGCAAGAGCCTCTTTGGTGTACGAGGATAATAGCTGGCCAAGTGCACGCTTGGAAGATTCAGATACCACGCAACCACACGGTCCAAGCCAATACCACCGCCACCGTGAGGGGGCACACCGGCACTGCGGAAGATGTCGACATACTCCTTGATGCCTTGACTTTTAGGGTCGATGCCCTTGGTACGAATTCGAGCTTCCAAAGTCTCCGGAACGTGGATACGTTGGCCACCCTGTTGAATAAGTTAGTGATGACTAGACAAACGATATTGGAGAGGGCGCCATACAGATAGGATCTCTTGTCCACGCATAAAGAAATCGAAGGCATTAGTAACCTTGGGGTTCTCGGGGTCCTCCAGGGCATAGAAAGGTCGGGCACCTTCGGGAAACTTGTCAAGGACGTAGAAGTCGGTCCTGTACTTGTCCCGGATAAGAGCACCTAGTGCCTTCTCTTGCGGTGTGCTCATGTCCTCTTCATCAGAGACGTTGCGGTACTCCTCCGGGCCCTCAGCTCTAAGGAGTGCCTGACCCTCAGCGAATGTAAGGCGAACCTCCTTACCGGGCTTGGGCAAAAGAAAGTCCTCAGAAGGGTAAACTGTTCGAACAAGAGCAATCTGCTCAGCACATCGCTCCTGAAGTCCTCGGAAGATATGAAGAAGAACCCCCTCGAGCATGTCGCGGACCTCATGGTAATGGTCCTCAATTTCCATCTCGAGATCAAGACCGGTGAACTATTGATGCAGGTCAGTGCTATGCTCTATGTAAATGAGCGAGTCTGGTAGGGCAAACAGGGAATTTTACCTCTGTCATGTGTCTAGGGGTGTTAGAGTTCTCAGCTCGAAATACAGGTCCAATGCACAAAACACGCTTCCGGCCACCGGCAATTTCGTATTGCTTGTAAAATTGGGGAGATTGAGCCAAGTAAGCCTGCTTATCAAAGTAAGGCATGCCGAACACGTTGGATCCTCCTTCAGAGGCAGCTCCAATAAGGCAAGGCGCCTCAAATTGGACAAAGTCACGAGCTTCAAGATACTCGACAAACAGCTTGCGAACAGCCAGTCGTACATCGGCGATAGCTTGCTGAACGGGAGCTCGCTTGTGCATGACGGGGTTGTTCAAATGAGTTGCCATGCTGGCACCAGGGACGTTCTCAAGGCTCAAGTTGTCAACGCCTTCTTTGACCTCCTCAACAGGGCCACCAGCGTCTTCGTCGTCGAAATTGGTAACAGGCCGGTTGGCAACAGCAAGACCCATGCCAAGAACTTGAGGGCCAGGGCTGATAACGTAGCACTTCGCGATATGTAGCTCGTAATTGGAGACCTTCACGCTCTTGACAGGCTCTTGGGGCTTCACAACCTTAGCTTCAACAAGAATGTAGCCTTCTAAATTCAGACTACCAATCCACTTGACCATCTGCTTAGAGACAGGTGTGCCTTCGTTGCTGGCCGCAACGACACCCTGAATAGCCCAGTCACGCTCCTCGCGGAGCTCAACAAAGGCCATCTTGGCACCTTGCATACGCGCATTCTGGATCCACGCACGAAGCTTGATGGTTTTACCGAGATGCTCATCACTCAGGTTTCGGAGCTTGACTCGCTCCGCATCGATCTTGGTAAGATGAGTGGAATCTCCGTAGTTGTCTTTAGCAAGGTCTTCGGTGTTCCCAGCAGCAGCTTTCGCGGCAGACTGTCTGGCTTCATGTTCAGCAGCTCGACGGGCCTTCTCAGCTTCCTTCTTAGCCTTTGCTTCAGCCTTCTTCAATGCCTTCTTCGAGGGGCCAGCCTCTCCGCCCTCAGCGCCTTCACCACCAGTGGCGGGAGTCTTTTCGGCGGGAGGGGGGGCAGCAGCTTGCTCAGCAGGGGCGTCAGCCATGGTGAAGTTATTCGAATACGTGATTCGCAGGTGTTGGGTTTCGTTTTCGTGCAATCAATCGTGTCAGTTGACGAGGGACGGTTGATATAGAAACACGTTCGGAGATGTTTCGATATGGCCAAAGCT